TAGGAAACTCTCTCCTTTCATAGCTCTCGGGCCTATTCTATTCATTACAGGAGAAAGTCACTATCCTCAGTTGCCTTGTCTCTGCATTTAGCCCCCCCTTTTCAGCCCTAGACTGGGTAGATTCTTTCGATTCTTCAATGAAAGCCTTCATGAAAGCTGCAACAGGATAAAGGATATCCTCTCTTCTCGCTCTGTCTGCTTAATGCCTTCTATTGAATCGATTGGTGCCATTTCTTCTCTTGGAGGCAGGGCAATAGATTCATCTTGTCCTTGGCTTGTGAAGGGAATGAGGTAGGGTAGCCAAAGCCCCCAACAAAGGGAGAGGGCAATCCTTCCCAAGTAATGCATAAGCAAGATCAGGACTAGAGGGGTGTGAAGAGTAGGGGGATCTCTTGTGCAAAGCAAAGACAGGTACGTGCTAGCAAAGAAGGGAAGTGGCAAGGGATTTCAAAGAAGAAGAAAGAAGAGAAAGTTAGTACACAGAGTCTTCCCCTGCCTAATTGATCTAATGAGAAAGAAGTAGGCTAAGTCAAATAGAAAGTGTGTGTAAACAATAAGTAATGACTTGCTTTGTGAGAGCTCAGTTTCTAAGACGAAGGCTAAGAATTCTCTACTAGAGGGATTGAAAAGATCGAGGGTAATTTCTGAGTCTTGATGGACCTTTCTTATTATAGGCCAAAGGAATAGCTAAGGACTTCTTCCCTCATTCTCATCAAATTGGGGTAGCTCAGGAACTCTAGAATCTCTCAGGAGTTGAATAAACTCTTTTATGCTAGTGGAATTGGGAAGCATGATAAGTCCGTACTCCACATTCTAGCTTCATCCTTGGTTTTCAAAGAAAGGAAACTTCAAAGACTGACAGAAGATAAAGGTAAGATAATTCTTTCTGGCCTTAACTGAAAGCGGGGGAGGCCCAGGTCTACATACAGGTCTTGGATCAATAGAATCCTCCGGGAAAGAATATCGGGATTAGTCTCCTTGCCATTGCTACTGTCTTTGAAAGTCTAGCTATCCTCTCCTTGTCATGCTTAGTTATTCTGCATTGCTCCTTCTTCTGATCTTGCTTTCTTGCCTTATAGAACTGACCTTTGTCCCCTCCTTCCGGTTTTCACTCACTTAAAGTCCATTCCTTGCTCTTGCCTAGTTCTAGGCTTAGACGAAAGAGCTCATTCATAGATTCCATCTTTCTAGCATTTCATGTCTTTCTTCCTTCAACTCTAATTCATGCCATGAATTGTTAAGTCCTTCTATAATAGCTATTGGCTCTCTTCTCACCTCCCCTAGAGCCTATTGAAGAAAAATCCGAGGCTGCCCTAAGCCCTACAGTTCCTTCGCTTACCGCCTAAGATGAATCTATTGCCTCCCCTCCCTCCACGAGTAGATATTTAGTATTGAATAGTGTCAAACCCGCAATAGTCAAGAAGAAAAACTCAGGACTAGGAAAGAAAGGCAGAGACAGGGAAAGCTAGGGTGATAGCCCTATAGATGAGTAATAGGATAGGGAGCACTCCGCTACACTCATTAGGACAACAACCTCCTAACTACTATGAGTTAAGCAACTAATGGACAGACCAGACCGCATAAGACTACTGGAATAGAAAAAGAGAAGGGATTCACGGGCAGTGAAGGCAACCAAGGGAGAGGAATCATTCCATTCAATTCCGAAGCCTAGCGTCTCCTGTAAGACTCTATCACCTTAATTCTTTTGTTGAGGTTCTGGCACTTCTTCCTCCGGCCCTCTATTTACATAGCGAAGAAAGGCAAAGGCTCTTGCTCGAATGCGTGACTTATGTCTCTTTTTCCATTTATAAAAAGTAAGATGAATCTACGCTCCTCGGCCTATAGTAAGTGAATGAGAGGGTATGGGGTTCCGGGTCTTTTTCCAGTCAAAATTGACTAATAGGCAATCCCCTTTTTCCGTGATAATGTGAAAGGACTCAATTCCTTCTTTCTTCCCCAGCGAAATGTAGCAGGAACAGCCTTCCCGCAGTCGCATTAAGGATATTTTTTCTTGAAACTCTTTACTCCCGTAGCAAGTACTCATTTCTATTTAGTTGTTTTCTTACTCTATCCGGCTATTGAACCTGGTTTCCCTCTGCATATGCTAATAGAGAGTTAGACAGCTTAGAGAGCTCCTCAAAGGGCTAGTTCTCACTCTGTTTTGGGGACCCCCAAGACTGTCTTTCCCCTAGTCTATATAGGTCCAATCTCATCTGCTAGCGCTTCTTCGTTGCTTGGTCGGGACACATTCATCGATTTCTTTTCGGGCTTGCAAGTGACTTACTTCTTTTGCCCGTTCTTGCTGTCTTAAGTCGTCCTCTTTTCTTTAGAAGCTGTTAATTTCTTTCCTGCCTGCCCTAAGGCTAAGGGGAGAACTGCATGTACTAATAGTCGGATAGAAGCCTACCAGCCTACCTTGTTCATATCGAGCCGGACAGGAGAGACCCTCTTTCAAGTTAAGAGAAGCAATTCCGCTTGAAAATAGGCGCTGTAAATCAATTCAAATAGATAGGGGAGTTCCGAACCAGCAGCAAGCCCTTTCTAATGTCCTAGGCGAAGGCAGTGCAGGTGAAAGCCCAATAGATCCCATTTTTTTGATCGCTCCACATAGCTCACGACCCGGCACGAAGAAATCTCTTAGATGGGCGGATGCGAATCTGGATCTATCAACGGAGCAATTCCATTCCAGTCGTAGTCTCAATCCCATATTCAATGTGCCGTCTCCGCCGTGTCTGACCCCCTCAATCTTTCTATCCGGAGTGAGTCAGGCGGCTAAGCCTTTCATCCTGATAAAAGAAAGAGTTTTCCCACCCTCCATAAATGGAATCGGTTTGAGTGAATTACTTACCGCAGTCAAAGCCAATAGGGAAAGTCAGGTCAAGAGAGAGTCTCTTTCCGATTAGTGCATCTCGCACTTCCAATTCATTCCGAGTTAGAAAAAGTAAGTTCCTTCCCGGGTAAAGTCCTCTTAAATGGATTACTAGTTCCTTCCTTCCCAATCAATGCTAACTCTATCTTCCTCTCTTGTAATTTAGGAGATTTCCCCAGCCCATAAAGAACTGTAGTTACATACAGCTCTCAAAAGATAAAAAGAGAAAGAGCTATGACTTCAAGTAAGAAAGTGAAAGTTCAGTCCTCACCGCCAAAAAGAAGACAGCAACAATCCGTACTACTTCTCTCAGTAAATAACATTCTCTTAGTTAGAGAGTAAGTAGATAGACGGATTAGTACTTTTACCCAGGGGTAGCCTTCCTTGTCGCCAAAGAAGAATGAGAATTGATAAAGTTTTCTTGGGCTTCAATAGCAGAAGCAAAGAAGTCAAATCAATGCAGCTTTCGTGCCCAGCCTAAAGATCCTATCCTCGCAGCAGCTGGAGCTCTTGATGGCACGTTCAAGCGAGTTTATGAATGAATGAAATCAGTTGAAGGAGCGGCCAAGGACGAAAGCTTTGATTGCGTTCTGCTATGGTTGGCTTTTTTCCTTGCCTAAAACAACTATCTTCTCTTCGCGAACGGTTAAGAATCCTCTTTGTATGCGCGTTCTCTCTTGTTTATTCTTCTAGTTTTTCCTTCTTATGCTTATGGGTGAGACTCCCTTTCTTCTTAGGTTGTCTGTAAGTCTAGTTCGTGGTTCACGGGTGAGGTTACCTGGATAGGTGGGCAGTTCCTATCGGTGGAGCTAAGACACCTTCGAGAGATATAGCTCTAGCTCTTGATGGCACGGGCAAGACAGTTCATGAATGAATGGCGAGTTTTCTATTTACTAGAATATCTTTCCTGCGAAGGAAGCTTCTTTTTAGAATTTCTTGCGTGAAGAAATTGAATCAACGGCATCGAATGCAAGCTCTGATAAAGTTTGATTCTTCTTTATGGACTACAACGACCTAAAGTAGCTAAATAAGTAGTGAAAGTAAGCTCCTGGCTAAAATGAGTCTTGGTTCTACCCACCGGCAAGAATTTTTCGACCTGATTAAATGATTGTAGATTGGCTATTTCGGGGTTCCATGCCCATGGATTGCCTTATTATAGCTTTTTTGATTCGTCGGGTATGCCGGCTAAGAGAATCGCTTCTCGCCTTGCTTGCAAGAGTATAAGCAAGCCGTAGCATTTTGACCCAGATAGAACTCTTTCAATTCATGAGAGAAAGTGCTTTAGTAGCGATTTCCCTGTTCTAGTGCAAGACGCAAGGAGAAGCACGAGCGGAGCGGTCTGGCTAAACGTGCAATGCCCCGTAGGGAGATCTAGCTTATTGGTCTAGTGCTTCCGGGTGCTTGCCAGTTCTGAATGACTGCTTGCCATGTTCTTACAAGAAAGAATCTCTTCTCCGAATCGAATCTACGCATATCGAATTCAGTAAAGACTTGAATAGATGCCTTCCTTCAAATAGAGTTCATCCTGTTGATGGTCTTTACTACACTAAGGCTAGATCCGGACTAATCCTAGCCTATTCTTATGAAGGAAGGTGAGCATGAAGCAACGGCTAGATCCTCACAGTAGGCAGCTTAGCTGTGATTATGAAGTCAGGTGAGAAGCGTTATGCAATAGAGAAGTCAGCTAGTGCACTTAGACAGGTAGTTGATTTCATTAGGGAATTGAATTGCAGGAAGGTCAGGTAGTCCTTAGGCCGTTGAGCGAAACTCTTGGCATCCTCCTCTTATGAGGGGATAGGAGTGAAAGAATCATTATAAAACTACGAGGTCGCCCCCACTTCTTAGAGCTCTCTTGCTACCTTATAATAGGTTCCTTAGACTATAGGCAGAAAGGCCGAGGCAGAGCCAGCAATTCTCTAAAAGCAAGGACGATTAGCTACGTTCCAATGAAGCACATTCCAACAATTACCTAGCCCGGTAGGT